TTTCGAGTCCATTGTTAACATCACTCGCCATTTGCGTTCTGCGCATGCGCCATCATTGGTCTGTTTTTTACATTCAATAAGCAGAAATTCGTACATATTTGGGATGATTTAAAGATTCAAATCGGTGCTAGCTTTAAAAATTGCAAATTTTTAACACCGACAACAGCACTAAACAGCACTAAAACGAAAATTGAAAAGTTAGGTTAGGTGGTACTCAGGCATAACATTTTTTCATTGGCCATGCGAGTTGTCAAGGGGTCTTCCCCGATAAGTCCACATCTCAATGATGGTTTTGAATGATATAAGCAGTTCGTTATCATGAATAGCCTTAATAATAGTAATACTTCCATCACAAAATTGCATATTTTTGAGCTCCGGTGAATGGTTATCAAGATATAGGAATTTAATGATAATGAACACACTCTGAAAGTGAACTTAATTAAACCTAACTGTATGCACAATACTAGCACAAGTAAAGAACGAGTTGATACTTTATTTATCAAATGTATTTGATAAACTGACTCTCTGCTTGTTTTAAAACTCTCCACGACAATCGGGCGTCAGGGAGGGAAGTCCGAGAGCTAACCCGGCTCAGGGGAGGGAAGGACGGCTCACGGTGGCCAACACAGCTTTTTTTTAAAACTGTCCACGACAATCGGGCGTCAGGGAGGGAAGTCCAAGAGCTAACCCGGCTCAGGGGAGGGAAGGACGGCATGCACACTCTAGCCAACAGAGCTTTTCTTCGAACTGGCCACGGGGCAACAGTCGGGCAGGGAAGGTCCATATCTTCGAAAACACAACATTTTGCTCATGTCAGTGTTCCAAGTAGTGTTCGGAACGGGGCGGTAGGTGTTCCAGAGTAAAAAAAACGTCATACCTGAGTACAGATTCGTAATCAGCAGGTTCGTTTCACATAGAATAGACGTGTCTGACACGTATCTTCGAAAAACCCTCATTTTGATCAACTCGGTGTTCCAAGTAGTGTTCGGAACGGGGCGGTAGGTGTTCCAGAGTTAAAAAACGTCATACCTGAGTCCAGATTCGTCATCAGCAGGTTCATTTCACATAGAATACATGTGTCTGACACGTATCTTCGAAAACACTTCATTTTGTTCAACTTTGTGTTCCAACCAGTGTTCGGAATAGGGTTGTACACGCTACGCAATTGTTCATGTAAGGCCCTATAAGGTGTCAGAAGTGTACTAGATGAAAACACTAATGATGCGAGGACATATTCTCGGCGTTTCTGCCGCCAGTAATCAAAACACTTGTAAATGTACGAAAATGTTCAAAAAAAGTGTTCAAAAGTGTTCAAATTACCGAAATAACCTTTGCTTTCTGTCCGGCGACACCAAATTGAGCGAAAAAGTTACTACGCGCCACTTATTAGCTTCATAAGGGGGAGCGTCACCGCTATTTATACCATTCCGTTCAGGTTGTACGAATTGAACAGTACAGGTTGAACGGTTCGAAAACTTCCAGAAGACTTCGGGCAGAATTGTTCCTTATACCTTTAAGGACGTCTGTGCAAATTTTGGTGCTTCTTTCACAAAATGCGCGATTGTTATGCGTACCGCGGCCACTATTAGTTTCTCTTCGTTATCGCGCCGGAGTGCCCCCTGGCCGCACCCCGACAGGTCCCAGTCCTGCCCAGTTCAGTCCGAGCACCCGGGCCTCGCACCCGCGGGCCTCCGCCATGACAGCGAGCGCGGAGCGACCGGCCGACCGGCCTCCGCCACCGCCTGCAGATGCGAGGGCCAGGGCAAAGCCCACCGACCGCGACGACTGCCATGGCCCCGGTCGAGAAAACCGCGTTTGTGATCCAGGTCCGGGCCCACCAGACAGGCGGTTCAGTATAGCTGGCGATGACGACGCCGTGGACGCCGACGGGGACGAGGCCGACGAGCCTGCCGCTGGGGCCGCCAGCGCGGCCAGCATCCTGGCCTCCGTAGCGGCGCGCAGCGCAGTGGCCAAGGCCGCCGACGATGCCCCCGCTGCGAGCCGGGGTGGCCTCGACCGTAGGTTTAGCATCGACGGGGACGACGAGGACGACGACGAAGAAATATGGAAGCGCGGGGCCGCTGCCGTCAGTGGTGTCGGCGCTGGCAGTGCTGCCGCCCTGGCCGCAGCCACCTCGAAGCTCGCCTCGGCCTCGGGGACTCCTAGTGCGAAGGGGACCCAGGGCCAGGGCCAGCGGCGGCCCCGAAGACTGGGACTCGTACTCGCCAGCCTCGTTACGGCCTTGCTGCTGCTGCTGGGGGCCGCCAGGGTGGCGCTCATATTCTTGTGAGTCAGGGAAGGGTAGGGGCTGACCGGGATCGGAGGAGAAGAGGGAAAGGGAGTGCCGAGGAGAGGAAGAAATACGAACTACCGACATGAAAAATTATA